CAGCCGACGACGATCCCTTGGTGACACTCACGAACTGCTTTCCCAGCGTAATACTCAGTTCTTCCAACATCCCATACACCTGTGAAGTTAGAGATTCCCAAACACTGATTGGCTTGAACCTCTCCGCCTCGTACTACATTTCAGGAGTCCTCATTCCTGGATGGCCGGCGACTCTTGATGCGAAAGCCAATACCATTACATTCATGCCTATTTGGGGGGCACCTTCAGGACGTTGGGAATTGGTCATAACACGTGTTTCTGACGATGGAAACTCTGACACTCCTCTGACGACCAATAAGACCATGGACTTCATGCGCATCGGTGCGACCCATGCGGATTTTGCTACACTCTATCCGTATTACGGTATGGGTGTCTCGTGGGAACCCAATCTCCCGAGCGGCACCGCGGCTTCTGATTACATGCTGGTGCGCTCTTTCGATGGCTGCCAGTACACTACAACAACCTGCACTGGCGCTTTGGGGTGTCACAGAATGCTGCCACCCGCTCATCTTCCCCCTCCAGGCATCTACTCGCTCTGTGTGACGTCAAATGGCTGGAATGACAAATACCTTCCGTGGGGTGTAGAATCTCTTGAGGTGCAGATGTTGATGGCCACGCCGCTGTACTTGACAGCTGGCAAGGACAGAAGTGTCGTGCTGCAGAATGCGGAATCTGTGGTAAATGTGTCGGGGCGTGTGTTCCTGGTGCTGTGCCCTTACAACAACTGCCCCCGTGTGATTACTGGCAGTTGGGAAGATGTGGTGGACCGTGATGCGTGTGTGAACCCCTCCGTCTCGTCGCGTGTGTACCTGTCCGACCTCCATTCGCTCTTCGCAGTACCTGGTGTGTACGCTGTGTGTGTCGATGATGATGATGGAGAGGACGCTGCTCCCGCTGCGCTGCCGGTGACGGTGCTGGAGAAACCGTTTGCCTTCAAGATAACTGCTGACAGAGCCAGGAACGCTGCCACGATTGGTGTTAGCGGCGGCGACCTCGAGTGGCGCAGAGCGCCGTACACGGTGTGCGCTGTGCCACGGAATGAAACATGTGATTCCGTATATGCGGGGCGGTGTGTGTGCGAGAAGAGTGGGTTGTCGTGGTCATCATCTGTGTTCATGGATCTCACCAACAGGGGAATGCTTGTTACGGAAGTGAGGTTCTGCTTNCAGAGCCAGGAACGCTGCCACGATTGGTGTTAGCGGCGGCGACCTCGAGTGGCGCAGAGCGCCGTACACGGTGTGCGCTGTGCCACGGAATGCCAAATGCGATTCCGTATATGCGGGGCCTCGTGTCTGTGAGAAGAGTGAGTCCGCAGGGTCATCGTCTGTGTTTCTGGATCTCACCAACAGGGGAATGCTTGTTCAGGATGTGAAGTTCTGCTTCATCGCAGCCAACGTGACAATCGGAGGACGCACCTACACACAGATGCAGAATGTGTCAGAGGATTCATGGGGAGATGTGCCAGAGGGTCTCTCGGATGATGACGGTGAGTTGACCACAGGATTGTCTGGTGGAGTCATCGCCGGGATTGCCATTGCCGGCATTGTTTTATTAAGTGTTCTGGTTGCCGCTGTGGTGTATGTGTTGCATCAGCGAAGGAAGAACAGAAGGGAGTCACTGGACTCTGGCACACGACCCTCGCCGACGGTGCCACACTCTGTGCAGAGGCAACCAAACCCCCTGACAACTGTTTCTGCCGACACTTCCCCGCCCCCGACTGTTCCTCCGCAAGGCGATGGTGCTGCCCAGGTGCCTGTTGTTGAACAATTAGGCAACACAGTGCAGCGTCACGTGGACCCAATAAATATGCAGGAGGTGAGGGGCGGGAATTCAGTTCCTTCAGAGGAACCACACGAAGGCGGTGCGACAAATCAAACCGAAAATATTACAGCTGCCAATAACAACGAACACTACAACGTGATAGCGAACATGCTGATGGGCCAAACCACTCCACGAGGTTCAACTCGTGCGATGATGGAGTGGATGGAAAGGGACTTTTCGCAATATTTTTACACTGCGCTAATGAATCAAGCCCAGGGTGGTAGCGGTACTCGACCAAGAGGTGTGCTTCCTCAAGACAGTAGAAACGAAGAATAATATGCCTGTGTGTATATGTGTGATTTTGTATGTGTTGTGACCCGTGTGATGTCGCGCGACAATGGCAACTGTGACGATAAGGCATTTGTATTCAAAGCCTGACACAACGATTGCAGGTGCAGGAATGAAGAAGGCGGAGCTGTGTGGCATCGACGCCCTGTGCACCG